AATCTTTACCCCCACCACCATCCCTAACCCCCTGGCAAGCAGTCATTTTTCCCTACCTCTATCATTTTGTCATTTTGAGAGTGTTATATAAATGGAACCATACAGTTTGTGACCTTTTGAGATTGGTTTTTTTCACTCAGCATAATGTCCTTGAAAACCATGTAAATTATTGCCAGTAACAATAGTTCATTTCTTTTTATTGCTGAGTAGTATTCCATATTATAGATGCACTATAGTTTGTTTAACCATTGGGGTCCAGTTTGCTTGTTTCTAGTTTTGGGCTATTACAAATGAAGCTGCACTGAATAATCTTGTACAGGTTTTTGTATACATGTAAGATTTCATTTCTCTGGGATGAATGCCCACAAGTGCAATTGCTGGGTCATGTAATAACTATTTTGGTTTTTAAAGTAGTTGCCAAACTATTTTCCAGAGTGGCTATACCACTTTATATTCCCACTGGCAATGTATGAGAGATCTGGTTTCTCTGCATCCTCTCCAGCATTTGGTAAAGACCAAAAATCAGAGAAAGGAAAATAGTTCAAATTTGCCATTTTAAAAAGGCACCAGTTCTAGATGTGTTTATAGCTGAACTTTAAAGAAGATAGTATCTATGCCATTTAATACATAAAAAGATAGAGATCTCCTAAATTCCTTTTAAAAACTGGCATAACCTTAATACCAGTGCTTGTTAAATATAATACAAAAATAATTATGATGCCTAAGATTTCATGTGGTTCCATGCATTTGTGCTGATTTTATTTGCATGTGTCGAATGACCGTAAAGGTTTGTGCCAGTTAGTACTACTTTATTATATATTTCATTATTAACAGAAGCCCCCCTTTTTGGCTAATTTGCATGCTTTGGACCTTAATTTCCACCTTGATAATTATATTTTCAGACCTGTTTTCATTTTTCTTGCATTTGCCTGGATAGTTTTTAAATCTTTATTGAAATATAGCATAATATAGAAAAGGATGCGCATTGTTCATATTTAGCTTGGTGGTTTTTTGACAGACTGAGCAAACCTGCATAGCCACCATCTAGATGAAGAAATATCCGTTACTTGCTCTCAAGAACCCATGTTTTTGAAATTTATATAAATGTAATCATAGAACATTGCTTCATTGCTCTTTTGGATCTGGCTTCTTTGACTTAACATAATTTTCATGAGATGAGACTCATGCATGTTGAATCTAGCAATTTATTCTTTCTTTTTGTTGTATAGTATTTCCTTGTGTAAATATAGCACAACTTGTTTATCCATTTTAATGTTGGTGAGCATTTATACAATTTCCAGTTTTGAATAAAGCCGCTATGAACATTATTGTACTCATCTTTTGGTAAACATATATTCTCATTTCTCTTGGGTATATACCTAGGAGCGGAATAGGTGGATCATAGGATATTGCATGTGTTCAGCATTAATAGATACTACCAAACAGTTTTCCAAAGTGTCTGTACTATTTTATGCTCCTAACAAGCCATTTATGAGTTTCTGTTACTCCACATCCTTGCCAGCTCTTGGTTATTTCCCAACTTTTTCATTTTAGCCATTTCTGGTAGATATGGAGGACTGTCTTATTGTAGTTTAATTTCTATTTCCTCGGTAACTAATGTAGTTGAGCATCTTTTCATGTTTATTTGCCATTTGAATATTTTCTTTGTGAAGTGCTTGTTCCTTTTCTTTTTTCTTTGCTCTTATTAATTTCTAGAAATTCTTGATATATTTGAGATTTTAATCATTTGTCAGATACACGTATTGCAGTTTTCTTCTCCCACCAATGAACAGAAGTGCTTAATATTTTGTTTTGTTTTGTTTACTTTTTTGGCATCCCTGAGTGGGCATGAACAAAAATCCTTAACTGTAACGTAGTCTAATTTAACAATCTTTTACGCTACCAGATATCAGGACTTAATATGAAGCACATTGATTAAGAAAGTGTAGACTGGGCATGGTGGCTCACACCTGTAATCCCAGTACTTTGGGAGGCCAAAGAGCTTGAGGCCAGGAGTTTGAGACCAGCCTGGGCAAATAGCAAGACCCCATCTCTACAACAAATAGAAAAATTAGCCAGGCATCCTGGCACATACCCGTAGTCCCAGCTACTTGGGAGGCTGAGGAGGGAGGATCCAGGCATTCAAGGTTGCAGTGAGCTATGCAGTGAGCCATGATCCTGCCCCCACATTCCAGCCTGGGTGACAGAGTGAGACCTGCAGAGCAGTGGAGAAAGGGTAGTCTTTTCAGTAAGTGGTGCTGGATCATCTTATTTCCACATAGAAGAAAGGAATCTTGACCTTAACACATACCGCACACCAAAATCCTTCCCAGATGGACTGTAGATCTAAATCTGAAAGCTAAAACAATAAAAGTTTTACATTAAACATCTTTATGACCCTGAAAGATTTCCTAACAATACATAACCATGAAGGAAAAAATGATAAATAATATGGTGTATAGAAATACACCAGTGCTTTATTTCACATCTTTATCTTTTTATTTTAGATGTGAGGCAACTATATTTTGTTTTTCTAACCCAGTGCCATAGTTTTTATCTTTTATAGCATAATTCAGCTCACTCAATTTTGTTGTGTTATACTTGATTTTATGCCTAATATTATGTTTGTTTTGGAGACAGGGTCTTGCTCTTGTGCCCAGGTTAGAGTACAGTGGCATCATCACAGCTCGCTTCAACCTCAAACTCCTGGACTCAAGTGATCCTTCTGCCTCAGCCTCTCAAGTAGCTGGGACTATAAGCACACACCACCATGCCCAGCTAATTTTTCCACTTTTTCTTTTTTTGTAGAGACGAAATCTCGCCATGTTGCTCAGGCTGGTCTTGAACTCGTAACCTCAAGCGATCCTCCTGCCTTGGCTTCCCAAAGTGCTAGGATTATAGGCATGAGCCACCTCACCCGGCAGAATTTTGATTATTTTTATCTATTTCTGGTAGTAATTGCCTTTACCTTCCTTACAAATATGATCATTTATATTTTCTACATTACTAGATCCAAATAATATTGTACCAATATCTGCCCATAGAGATGCATAGTTTGCCCTCTTCTCATTTTGCTTAGTAAATTTTCCTAGGATATTTTAAAATTTCCAATTTATAGCTTCATTTACTCCAAATGGCAAATTACGTTATTTTTCTTTATTCAGATATAATTATATTAGTTGCTGCAAGAATTGTATCTCAAAACTGCTTTCTATTTTGAGGTTTCTGTTATTAAATACTAGTCAGTTTATAATTGTTGAGACTATTCCCTTGAGTGTTCTCCTGAGATTGGAATATTGGCATTCCATGCTATAAATGCTTTTATATCTAAAATTGTCTTTCTTTTGCTCTGACAGAAGAATACTATCTAGCTAGAGTAGGTTTAAGATTCTTGGATCTCAGTCCTTTCCTCTCAGTAATTTGTAGATGTTTTCTTCTAATATGGCTTCTATTGTTGCAGATAAGAAGTATAGTGCCATTGTGATCCCTTTTCATTGTAAATAATGTATTGTTTCTGCCTGGGAGATTTTTAGTTTTTCTTGTTATCCTTTAAATTCAATGCCAAACCAATTCCTCTGGGAATTGGATTCCTCTAGGAGTCAAGGATTGAGGGCATTTCTGTGAGGAAGGATCAATGAGTTAAGGTCCAATAGGATTAAATAATCCAGGGCCTATAGGTGTCATTCATTTGGGGGCAGTGAGTGACAATTTTGAGGAATCCTTGAAGAGAAATAATTGGAAATATATGTGGGTAAGCAATTGGGACCTCTGTAGAAATTCTTGAGGTTTTATCTGAGTTGGAGATGTAAGTTTCTGAGGTCACTGATTCAGTCCGTAAGAGTTTATTGATTGGGGCACTGAGGTGGTGAATGATTGATTGCAAGCCTGGAATTCTCAAAGGATTACAAGTCTTTGGGAATCAGTTTTTGGGGGCCTGTAGGAATCATGGATTGGGGCCTGTGGACATTGATTATTGCAGGACTATGTGATCTGGTATGTGATAGGCTGAAATGTCTATTACTGAGGGTTTTATGTGGGTCACTGACTCTGTTGAGGGTGTGTTGCCTGTGTTGTGATTATTTGAGGAGCCTGTGGAAACCAGTCGTGACACCACTTGGGACACAGTTTTTGTCAAGCAGTGTGGGCTAATGATTTAGGAGCCTGTGCAGATCTCCTGGTTTTCAGGGCCCAGATGGGAATTGCAGGGGAGAGGTGAGTTTATGTTTTCATCTTTGACAGAAGAGAGCAGGCTCTATAAGTTGCCCAGAGTGTATACTGAGTTACACAGAAGCTCAGTTTCTGACTTGTGACATAGTCGCCCCTCAGCCAGAGCACTTTGAAGGCAGCAGGCAACATAAATAATGTTTATTTTGATTCTTCCATGTATGGAATAGCATAAGGCTCAGTAGTGAAGAAAATGTGCTTTGGAGCCAGGTATACCTGGATTTGAAGCCCTGTCATTCTTTCTAATCTGAGTGATTTGGGGACAAATTTTTCAGTATTTCTGAACAGCCCTATGTGATGGTAAATGGGAATAATAATAATGATAGTAATTCCTAGTCCACAGGATGATTGTAAAAACTAAATGAGGTACCTAATAAAACATGCCTTGTACCTTGTATCATAGTAATAGCAATATTTAATATTAATTGAGTATGCCCCAGGGGCCAGGTAGTTATGAGTGCTTTAGAAGTATCATTTCATTTAACTTTAACAAACCTATGAGATAGGTATTTTCATCCTGTTCGAAGATAAAGAAACAGCCAAAAATGACTTCCCCACATTCCAGCTGGAATGTAGAAGAGCTGGAATTCAAACCCTCATTCATTTTGCAGCAAATCTGATGGATTTTCCCCATATTCCATGTTAATACTTGGCATTGGTTTTACTGAACTTTTCTCTTCCACGACATCCAGCACAGCGAGCTGCCCCTTGGCGCCCCCAGGAAGCGTTTATGGGTGAATGTGGAGTGACTAACCCTGTGGACACTGTCTTTCCAGGGTTTCTTGGAGCCTCTGCAGAGTCCGGGGTCCAGACCCCTTAGTGGGAACTGCGAGATCTTCCTTCCGACCCCACCTTGCTTCACCCCAGCAGCTCTGGTTGAGTCCACAGATGCCAGCCCAGCTTCAAGCCCCTGGGACGAGTGGAGCTGTCAGCAGGAGAGCCTGAGGCCTGAGGCCCAGTGTGGACATGGCAGCTAATGGGGACTCTCCCCCGTGGTCCTCTGCCCTGGCTGCAGAGGGACATGGCAGCTCATGTGAGGTGAGGACAGAGAGGATCCCAGGGGCAAGAATTCATTCAGTGAGGAGATACCCCTGACCTGTCCCCAGGGCCTCGGCTCAGGGACAGGTAAGTCACAGGAAACGGCAGATTCTGGACTTGCTGCCCCAGAAACAGATCAGGATTCTCCACTGAGAGTGAGCACCACATGGCTGATGTCAGCACATCCAGAGCGCTGTGGGTTTCAGCAGAAAATGTGACTTGGCTGATGGAGGCGGGGATGTGGAGGGTCCAGCCCATGGCCTAGGGGGAGAGGGAGGCAGCTCCCTGCAGGGCATCTGAGGGTGAGGTCTGGGTGGGAGCCGCTCCCCCCACCCTAGCAGGGGCCCTTCATTCTGCATGGGCTTTTTACAGATGACACTTGGCTGATCCCCACCAGATACCCCTTCGCCTACCCCCCCTACTGTCTCTGGGATCCACTGATTTCCCCTCAATCCTGATTTAGTGCAGAAAAATCCTTTTTCTTTGCAATTTAGAGACTGGCAGGGTAGTAGAGTGACCACAGTCTCTAGGGTCCTTCTAGCTCTTCCTCCTCTTTTCAAAGATGAATAAAATGGCCTGAGAAGGCGTGTGACTCATGCAGGCCTCTCAGGTTGGCTGTGACAGCCTTAGACCAGAGCCAGGTGCCCTGACTGTGTCCTCTACCCTCACCACACCACAGCCAGGACCAAGTTTCCTGCTCAGAGTCCCCTTTGAGATTGTGTAAGCAGAGGAAGACGATGAGCCAGCCAGACCCTGTGCGACAGCTCCCTCCTTTCACACCTGCCTGTGAATGCTGTCAGCTCCGGGAAGGCCTCCTTGTCACAGGGGCTTGGGGTCATGTGGTCCTTAGATAATATTATACTTTTAAATATTATTTTGTTTTTTATCATTTCATCACTTCATAATAAAAAAAAGAAAGTACAGGTTAGAAAATAGAAGAGAATAAAAAATTACTTGTAATTCCAGCATTACCCAAAGTTAACCATTGTTAACATTTAGCTATATTTCCTTTCTCCTTTGTGTGTGCATGTGTGCATATGTGCGGTATACGTGTGGGGCTACGAGTGTGTATGCATACCATATATATATACATATGTAGCTGAAGTTTTTAAATAGAATCATACTACTTAGTTATCTCCTTTTCAACTCAGCAGGTTAACAATTTTCTAGGCAGTAAATATTTTTCTTCATACATGTATTATGTCCATTTAGCCAGTCTACTTTTCTAAAATTTTATTTTTAATTGACAAATAATTATATATATTTATGGGATACAATGTAATATTTATATATGCTATAGAATGCTTAAATCAAGATAATTAGCATATCCATCACCTCACATACTTATTTTTTTGGTGGTGTGAACATCTAAAATCTCTCTTAGTAATTTTGAAATATACATTAAATTGTTATTAACCGTAGTCACCATACTGTGCAATAGATCTGAAAAAACTTTTTACTTTTGTCTAACAAAAACTGTGCATGCTTTGACCAACATCTTCCCCTCTCCTACAACCAGTCCACTATTAATATGCATTTAGGGCATTTCAGGTTTTCTATCATGATTAACAATGCTATGATAGAATTCGTACATTTAAATCTTTTTGCCTAAGTCATTGAAATTATATTTTGAGTCAAAGGTATAGAGGCATTAAATGGTAAATGAATCAATGCTCAACAGCAGTGCATTTCCACCTCGTCTAAGTTCTGCTCTGTCATAACGGTCACGGATCCACAACAATGTGGTCCTCCCCAGTCCTACAGATGGCCTCTTGCCCAGCCACAATGTGGGGATTTCTAGATAAATGATTCTGGGCTCTCTAAGGCACATTTCTCCATTCATCTCTTCCTTCCTAACCACGGATCTCTGGCCCTTCTCAAGAAGAGATGGAAATGACCAAGACCCTGGGGAATATTAGTTATTCACTTATTTATTTTCTAGGTTCTTTTTTTCCCATTAGATATCAGGGAGGAGGGTATAGGCAAAGATACCAAGGAACCAATAAAAATGTCCCAGGGGTTGGGGAGCAGCCAGTTGGACCGAGCAACAGTGGCTGAAGCTAGAGAACAAGCAGAGGGTCAGTGAGAGAAAGAGGGATGCGGGCAAGCACAGGGGAATGAGGAATAGGGAGAGGCTGCAGGGGCCATGATGCATGTACTGGGGATGGAGAGTAGCCAAGGGGTTCAGGGAACAGGTGGATACACAATGAAACAAACAGAGGACACAGGAAACATGAGACGCTGGGTAGCACCCAGAGCCCAAGAAACAGTTGTTAAGGCTAGAGAAGTGATTGTTAGGGAGCAGGGAAGAGCCAGAGGGTTAAAGAACAATCAGACGGATCAGGAAATAGAGGAACCAGATAGCAGCCAGACAGAGCAGGGAACATCAGAGGGGTGAGGAAGCAGAAGAATCAGGTGAAATGGAAAAAGCAAAAACGTTCAAGGAGCTGAGGATAATCCTGAGGGACAAGCAACTTCCCCAGGAACCAGGGAGCACTTCCTTGGTTTAGAGGAGAATTTGAGAGTACAGGGAACAGGCAGAAGTACCAGGGAATAAGACATGGGAAATATGACCCTGCGAATGGGTAGCAGCCAGAGGGACCGGGAGACAATTGCTGAGGCTGTAGAATGAGCAGAGGGATCAGGGTAGGACAGAACCCATGGAACAGGTGGAAAGGTGAAAGAAGAGCCTCTAAGGCTGAGGAATGGCCTAGGGTGCCAGGGAACACATGCAGCAAGGAACAGCCACTGAGGTTGGGGAGCAGCCAGAGGGAGCAGGAAAAACATGCTTAGGGCAAAGTGTCAACCAGAGGTCCCAGGAAATAACTAGAGGAGGAACTAGACAACAGACCAAGTGAGCATTAAATGTGTACCTGGTGTGAGGTAGCAGCCTGATGGGTTAGAGACCAGCTAGAGGGACTAGAGAAGGGCCAGAAGGAACAGTATAAATTACTGCCAAGAGTTAGCCAGAGGTCACATGCAGCAGTCACCGGGGTTAAGGCACACTTGAAGAAGCCAGGGAGAGGCTAGGGAACAGCCAGAGTTCTCAGGAATAGGGTGAGCAACCATCCTGGTTTGTCTGTGACTGAGGGGACATGGGACTTTCAGTGCTAAAACAGGGAAATCCCTGGGCAAACTGGGATAGTTGGTCTCCCTACCCAGGAAACAACCACAGGAACCAGCCAATAGTCAGATGTAATATCAGTAATGGAGACGATGGAAGTACAGAATCCAGACATGGCACAGAGCACGCGGAAGTAGTGTACGTTAGTGGGTAAGAGCATGGGCTGAGGAGCCAGCTGGACTGGCTCTACTCAAAGTATGGGCCATGAACTAGATACATGAGCAGCTCAGGGAGGCATATGAATTAAATGTGTCCAAGGAACTGTCCACGGACACAGGGAAGAATCAGGAGACCAGAGAGCAGTCAGAGGAATCCAACAGCAGTCAGTCTATGTGAACCAGACAGAAACAGCTGAAAGGAACAAGAAAGGCCCTTAGGGACCAGGGAACAGTCGGGTGCACTAGGGCATAATCAGAAGAATGCCACAGAACGGATCAGCTGGAAGGATAACTGTCTAAGAGAACACGGGACAGGAAACAGGAGGCATGAACAGTTAGAGGGACCCAGGTGCAGTCAAAGGAAGCAAGTAATAAGAGAACAGGAGACACTTAGAGGAAATGGTAAATAGATGGACCACGGAAGAGTCAGAGGGAACAAGAAATGGTCAGATGGGGAACACTCAGAGGGAACAAGGACCAGCAGAGGGAGGGAGCAGGGAGAAGTCTGGGGAAGCAGAAAACAGCTTGGGGGGGCACTAGAGGGAGGGAGGAGCAGTTGCAGGGACAGAGAACAGACCAGGGAACAGGGTATATCAAGACGGATAAGGACCAGCCAGAGGGAACAGCACACTGGCTACCAACTTGTTCGCTGAGACAGAACACCCATGTACACAAGTTACATGGAGCAGATTTGTTACAGGTGGGCAGCAAGGTACAATGGAAGCCTAGGATTCATTGCAAACTGGTTCCTCCAGGCTCAGGAAAGCTCAGGGTGCATGGAGTCTTGTCTGTGTGGACCCCACTTGCACCGCTGCTGGGGACCCCAGAAAGCAGCTTGCCCTGGATTTTATAACTCAGGGCAACTCAATACCCAGGGCTAAACCATTGAAGGTTGAAGGACATCCTATTTCCAGGGAGGACTGGAGCAGAGCTCCCGGCTGTTCAGCCAGTCCCTCCACAGCTCAGGATGTTACATTCCCTGGGCACCCCCAGCCAAGGGGGAACCTGCAGATGTTAATTACGCCCATACTGACTGGTAAATAGCCACTCCTCCACTCCCTGAGACTCCTCCCCTGTGCCAGCCATGTCAACAAGGCTCAGTAGAACAGTGCAGCCAGGAGAGCTGACCCCAGCAATGACCCCCAAGGCTCTCCCTGGAGGGCTGCCCTTGGGTGATGAAGGGGACAGGCAGGTGTGTTGCCCTGGGAGCTGGTGGGTAGAGAAGGTGGCTGCAGAAGGCCAGGGAAGGGCCTGTGGGAGCTCCCTGCTTGCTCCGTGCCCCTGAATATTCACTGACAAGAGGAGGCCCCCAGGGCCCCAAAAGGCCAAAGGGCCTTTGGATGAATAAAGGTTCCTCACTTCTTTATGGAGAATCATTAGAGCTTTTCTTTACTACTTGGTACATTTTCTGTCTTGTTTGGGAAATCCTCACCTGCCCCAAGGTCTAAACAAATATTCACCTGTATTTCTACTGAGAGTTTTAAAGCTTTGGTTCTTTTGAAACTTTTTGTTTTGCAGTACAGGCAGACTGGAGATACTGCGGGTTTGGTTCCAGACCACCGCAATAAAGCGAATACCGCAATAAGGCGAGTCACACAAAATTTTTGGTTTCCCAATGCATATGAAAGTTACGCTTACACTATACTGTAGTCTATTAAGTGTGCAATTGCATTATATCTAAAGAAACAGTGTACCGACCTTAATTAAAAAATACTTTA